GTGTCAACGTCCATCGCGGGCCGTGGCAGTCGTTTTCGGCCGCGCATACGCACGCCCGTACGACTACGATCGTTTTCCCACGCCGATTCCAGGTACGGCGCACAGTGGAGCTCGGGGAAACTAGCCACCGGCCGCGTCTCTGCCTGCCTGCCCGGCGAGCCAAAGGGCAACCGCGATCGCGCGGCGGGGAGGCCGGTTCCTGGGCGCGCGCCAAAGGGCAAGCAGGCAAATGGCACCCGCGTCGGGGCGATCGTGCACCTGCACGTGCGGCAGGCAGGCAGAGGCTGGCCGTCAAGCCACAGCGGCAGCCTCTTGCTTGCTGGGTTGCTCCATCGATGTGCGCGATCGAGATCCCGCCGGGCGCCACTTCACACTGCCCCTTGGCATCCCCTGACTGACTGCCCGGCCGACTCGCCCATCGGAAGGGTACTACCCTACAATCCTACCCGCCGCAGGTGCACTCCGTGGGCTGAGTAAAGGACACCAAAAGGTCCCTAAAATATCCCGATAATGTCACGTAGGTCCTTGAATTATGAAAGCTGGCATTCAGGTCCTCAAAATGTAATAAGTGGCTCATCTAGGTCCAAACTCTACCATTCCAAAAAGTATGCACGCAAAAAGAAAAAGAAAAACGCCGCCCTCTATGGCCTCGTCTTTCTCAGCAAGTTGATTTACCAACGGTGGCATGTCAATGGCACTGAATCTGGGACAATGCTGTCAAGGACGACAAGAGCGGTCCATGGTCGTGGTGTTCAACGGCGTTCTAGCGGCGCCGAGGTACTCATCAACATTAAAAGGAAGACAACATCATAAGCATGGGGGTGACGCACCGTGCCGACAAGCCGTCTCCACCCAAGCATCCATGTGAACCTTGTCATTGATACCATCATAGTGGTGGCGTCGTTCGGGCACGCCTTGTCGTTGTGCTTTTGGGAAGCGACGGGGCAGCTAAATGTTGGCTTGCAGAGAAAGCTCACCTTGGCACACAAAGTGCTTCAAAGCTTCATCATGGAGATGATCGGGAGTATAAAGCCATGGTCTACAACCTTGTCTAGAACCCCAACGTCATGTGCGGGATTCAGGAACAAAATTTTCCCTGTCATGTCGCGCAAATCAAGGGCCACCAACAACCACACCTATGAGTGCATTCCGCATCACTAGAATATTCCAAGGATGTCATGTAAGTCCTCAAATTTTGGAAATCGTCTTTTAGGTCATGAAAACGTATAAGCATGTCACCCAAGTCCAAACCCCTGCCAGTCCTAAAAATATGCACACAAAAAACACCATCTTTACAAATTTAGGGACCTTTCTGGCAGCTTCTTCTTCAGTAAGTTGATGTAACACCAAAAATGGTAGGTCAATGGTGGCGGCTGATGCGAGACATAAGAGGTTCGTGGTTGTAATGTTGTGGCACCTTCTAGCAGCATCGAGGTACTCACTGACATCAAGGAGGACAACATTGTCATAGTGGATGCCATCATAGAGGTGGCATTGTTCTAGCACACCATACTGATGTGCTCCTAGGAAGCGATGCAATAGTTAAATGTCGGTTTGGAGGGAAAGCTCAAATTGGCGAACAAAGTGCTTCACAGATTCATTGAATATGATCAAGAGTAGGAAGCTCTATTATACAACCTCACCCAGAACCCCAGCATCGTGGATCTGGAAGAAATCCCCCCCTACTGTGCTGTGCAGAGGAACGGACACCAACAACGACACACGATAATAATCAAGCCCAAATCATTGGTCTACATACACACTACCTTGCTCAGGTTGATGAGATTGTTACTCTTGATCCTGATCCAATGCAAGACAGTGTTTGTAGACGACGTGATATCAATGTTTACCACTATGGCCACCAGTGGCGGAGCTTAGTGTCCTGCTAGGGAGGGGAGGGGGATATGCCCCCCCCCCAACTTTGGACAATTCTTTGAAGAAAATATTAAGTAGAGGGCCTAGCTGAAAGAAAATTTAGCATTTTGCCCCCTCAAATGCTCCCATTTTGTGTTCTGCCCCCCCCCCCATCGAGGAATTCTGGTGTAGCTCCGCCACTGATGGCCACCACTGTGGTTGACAAAGGAAGTCGATGCTTACCACACGTCACTGGACTCCATGTTGGAAATATGTCCTAGAGGCAATAATAAATTGGTTATTATTATATTTCCATGTTCATGATAACCGTTTATTATCCATGCTAGAATTGTATTGATAGGAAACTCAGATACATGTGTGGATACATAGACAACACCATGTCCCTAGTAAGCCTCTAGTTGACTAGCTCGTTGCTCAATAAGATGGTTAGGTTTCCTGACCATGGACATTGGATGTCGTTGATAACGAGATCACATCATTAGGAGAATGATGTGATGGACAAGACCCAATCCTAAGGCTAGCACAAAGATCGTGTAGTTCGTATACTAAAGCTTTTCTAATGTCAAGTATCATTTCCTTAGACCATGAGATTGTGCAACTCCCGGATACCGTAGGAGTGCTTTGGGTGTGCCAAACGTCACAACGTAACTGGGTGGCTATAAAGGTTCACTACAGGTATCTCCGAAAGTGTCTGTTGGATTGGCATGAATCGAGACTGGGATTTGTCACTCCGTGTAAACGGAGAGGTATCTCTGGGCCCACTCGGTAGGACATCATCATAATGTGCATAATGTGACCAAGGAGTTGATCACGGGATGATGTGTTACGGAACGAGTAAGGAGACTTGCCGGTGACGAGATTGAACAAGGTATCGGATATCGACGATTGAATCTCAGGCAAGTACAATACCGCTGGACAAAGGGAATTGAATACGGGATTGATTGAATCCTCGACATCGTGGTTCATCCGATGAGATCATCGTGGAACATGTGGGAGCCAACATGGGTATCCAGATCCCGCTGTTGGTTATTGGCCGGAGAGTTGTCTCGGTCATGTCTACATGGTTCCCGAACCTGTAGGGTCTACACACTTAAGGTTCAGTGACGCTAGAGTTGTTATGGGAAATAGTATGTGGTTACCGAAGGTTGTTCGGAGTCCCGGATGAGATCCCGGACATGACGAGGAGCTCCGGAATGGTCCGGAGGTGAAGATCGATATATTGTACGAAGGGTATTGGAGTCCGTAAGTGTTTCGGAGGTACCAGGCTATGGCCAGCATGACCGAAAGGTGTTTCGGGAGCCCCGACAAGTGTTGGAGGGCCTCATGGGCCAAAGGGGAAGGGGCAAACCAGCCCACTAAGGGTTGGTGCGCCCCCCACACCCTTTCCCACGTTACTTGGGGAGGTGGGGCGCCTCCACCTGGCTTGGGAGGCAAGCCTCCACCTGCTTGGCTTGGGGGGCAAGTCTCCCTAGGATTTTCCCTAGGGAGATCCCATCTGCCTGGCCACCGCCCCTAGGGGAAACCCTAGGGCGCCTCCCCCTCTCCCCTTGACCCTATATATAGTGGAGGGGTGGGAGGGCAGCCGAACCTCTTCGACTGGCGCAGCCCTCCCTCCTCCTACACCTCCTCCTCCTCCATAGTGCTTGGCGAAGCCCTGCTGGAGAACCACGAGCTCCATTGCCATCATGCCGTCGTGCTGCTGGAGTTCTCCCTCAACTTCTCCTCTCCCCTTGCTGGATCAAGAAGGAGGAGACGTCCCCGGGCTGTACGTGTGTTGAACACGGAGGCGCCGTCCGTTCGGCGCTAGATCGGAATCAACCGCGATCTGAATCGCTGCGAGTACGACTCCTTCATCCGCGTTCTTGCAACGCTTCCGCTTAGCGATCTACAAGGGTATGTAGATGCACTCTCCTTCCCCTCGTTGCTAGATTACTCCATAGATTGATCTTGGTGATGCGTAGAAAATTTTGAATTTCTGCTACGATCCCCAACATTCCATACATACATTTGTGTCTTTTTTGCATAGATCCCAACCGGTTTTGGCGGGAAGTTTGCTGCCAAGCCGCCTCTTCCGATGTCGCCTTGATCAACGGTGACACATGTGCAGTCAACACAGGGTTAGGGCTAGTTTGGACCTGGATGACACAGTTATTGCACTTCCCGGAGCTACATGCTGACTTCCAAAAGTAGAGAACCTAAGTGAGTCCCCCCGAATAGTTTAGGGACCTATAGTGCACTTCAATCTTATGAGGCATAGGCCGACATTGCACGGCTGCCCTTGTGCTCCTCCTCCAGTTATGCCTCATGTTTGAGCTACTCATGGTAGGTGTGATGTTGCTCGACCTCCTGAGAGTTGATGGCCATGTTCGGCCTGTCATCTAAGTCAAGCTCGGTGGTCGACACGGTGGATGCATGCGGGGGCCGCTCCCGAGTTTGCCGATGAAGGGGGTGCGGGGGGAGGGGGGTG